GACTAAATTGTGTGTGTAGGCTACTTAATATTGAGAAAAAAGCCCTAATCAGATAGGCGAATGTCTGCAGCCCCGCCTCCATTTTCAGATGTCTCCGTTTTCCCCATCCACACTGAGATGGAGCAGCAGCGTTTTAGAATGAAAACGGCCTCTCCAGCATTTTCGAAACGCTCCATTTTCAGCGCTCAAAAACTCCGGCGTAGTCTGGACGGATGGCGTAACCGTGGCAAAACTTATTCGTTTTAAAACGAAAATGCATTAGTGTAAACGGGGCCTGAGAGAAGATCTCATGAGCTCCGCTGCTGCTACTATTGGCTGTAGCTCAAGAAAGTCGCTTTTCATTTGTATAACGTTAAAGGATTCTCAACTTTGTCGCATCACTTGACATGTCCACTTATTCGATGTTGCTCACATAGATGAAGGCGGCAGGAAGTAGCTTACTCTTCATTAAAATAAATGGTCACTTGTTACTTTGAGGTGAGTGAGGATCACGTGAGCTCTACTAGTGCTCCTATTGGCTGTCGTTCAATAAAGTCGTTCTTGATTTGCATAAAGTTAAAGGATTCTCAGCTTTGTTGCATCGCTTAACTCGCCCACCTGGTCGGTAAAGTGTAGATTAGATACGTGGCCGGCTGGAAGTGCGATATGCACATAATTATAGCAGCGTTTTTTAATGACACTGTACAACAATAATATTTTTACAGTACTGTGATGGTTGGGTTTAGGGTTGGGGTGGGAGAAGGCTTTAAAAAATAAAACATATTGGGTAATTTAATAGATAACATAAATAATACTCGGTACAACTACTGTTTTTATGTTACTTTGACGGTTGGGTTTAAAGTTGGGGTGGGGGTAGATGTTAATAAAATACAATAAATGGGAAATTTAATAAATAATATAAATAATTCTTGTTAACCATATCCGATCTAGCAACAACCCACCTGGTCACCAATGGTCGCTTATGTAGACGGAGGTCATCAGAAGTTGCTCACTATTTTGTTAAAATGAACACTCGCTTGTCGATTTGCCGCTGATAGTCACTCTTAAGGTCCGTGCACACAGAAACGTTTTTTGCTTGCGTTTTCCCTCAACGTTTAACGCCTCTTGACTAAATAAAGGGCGTCAATGTGATTGTGCACACCAACGCAAAAAACGTCATTTTTTTCTGTTGACACATCATGTCAAAACCTTCTCCACCAATCAGGTTGGCACTTTTGTTCATGTGCACGGAACTGCTAAAGTTACAGTAAATAGCACTTGGTGGCGCTCAAGCGCAAAACGGTCAATGTGAGCGTATATTGAAGAAGATGCCCAGAGGCGATATGAACGTGGAGCTGCTTATTGAACTGGTGAACAATAATCATTAATGCATTGGTAGAGCTGGAGCTGCTGCTTGAACCATTCATAACCACAAGCGTGTCAACTTTGTCTTCTTCTTCTGTGTTACAAGCGGGTGTCAGAAGCTTAAAGTTGTGTAGCGCCATCTAACGTCAAGAAGTGATTTTGCATACTCTCCTGCTTGACGCCAGTGAAAATTGCTTGGGGTTGAATCCGGATAAAACGCTGACGATAAACGCAAATGAAAAGCGATGTGTAAGAGCCTTTAGTGTGAATTAGGCTTGGCTTTAGTCACACACTGCACTCACATGTTGCACAAAATCACATTATTCACTTATTTATCCTAAGCCACTTACAAATAAAATCTATTTATAAATATTTTTCTTAAATACACAAATGTATTAGAATTTTATAAAATTATTTTTGACTACTACTACTGAAAGTAAAAATGCATTATTACTGTCCAGTAAAATTAGTTTTTTTCTGTCAATATTAATTTGGTTTAAAACTCTTTTTTTTTTCTTTTTTTTTTTGTAAAGCACAATTCTGCAACTTCATTCAGCTTTTTCCACATTATGGAAATCATATGGCATAGCATAGGATGGAATTCAAAGACATGCAAAAAATAACATCCAGATAAATAGCATCCATATTCGGAATGACATGAAGGTAAATGCCAGCAATGAAAAACTAGTAATTATTATACAATATGAACTGTCTCTTTAAGAATGCCAAATTTGCATGACAGCAAAAAAAAAGGGTTCATTGGAAGTGAAAGTTGGAGGTCAAGGACCAGGGAAACAAATGAATGAAGGAAAAATACAGTAATAACATGGTGGGAGAGTGCATGAGAGTTGTTAATCTCTCTCTGTGCTGCTCTGTGTCCTGCTGCCCGTCCATATGGCTGTGTATGTATGTGTGAGAGAGTAAAAATGAAGGAGAAATTGGATGCAAGGTGACTGACACATGCCATCATTCATGTAACAGGACGGCTGGATTAAACAATAACCTCTGCGTTGCTGTTTTGTGACTGCTGCTGATGGTTTATATGCGGGTCTGCCAGGACAAAGACACAGCTTATGACTTCGGACCACAGATTGCTGCTTTATCTGTAGCAGGAAAGCCTGGTTTAATTATCTGCCTAAGCCCATTAACAGAGCAA